TAGTGCCATTCTAAGCAGAGCTACACCTTCTAAGCCCACTGAGTTGGGCCTGATGACACTGTTGCCGTGCTAGTCTAGATGAGTGATGGGGCAAGAATGAAGACATACAGGTATCCCTTGTTCCCCAAGAGTACAAAAATACAATAAAATACATGTGCACACCTATAAAGTTTCTGCACCCTCCAGCAGTGGCACCCCTGACCCAGCTGCCTTGATGCACTGTCACCTCCCATTTATGGGTGGCATTGTCCTCCAGGGCATCAGGTGTGAGGTTGCAGATCTCAACTTTGTCAAAGTGGGATAGGAAATCCTCAAACTTCATCCTGTGTAAGATGGAAAGAGTAATCACATTAGGGACTTCTGACCCCTAAGCAAATATTTTCCTCCAAACGTCTAAGCTCACAATCAGAGTAAGTGGTCTGAATCCTCAATTTTGAGATCGATTGCAACACAGTAGAGAATGGGCTGTGACCCATGGAGTTCCCACTTGAAATTTCACCTCCACCAAGACCTCATTAGAAAGCCTTTAGGAAAGCCCCTGTGACTGGTATCAGCTCCCTATAACATAGGGATAACAACAACATTTCATGGGGAGGGAAGGTGGCATGGTACAGCCTGATCTCATCAGATCCTGGAAGCTAAGCAGGGTCAGTACTCGGAAGGGAGACCTCCAAGGAAGACTCTACAGAGGAAGGCAATGGGCAAACCACCTCTGCTTCTCACTTGCCTCGAAAGCTCTTTGCTGGGGTTGCAGTAAGTCAATGGAGACCCCCCACACACACACACACAGAGCATGGCTATTGTGAGGCTTATATCAAGATAATGGCTGATTTCGCACTAGAGCTGCCTTGATGTTGTGCCGCCGTTTGCACCAATGCTATTGGTCAATTTCACACCCGAAGCCGCGGGGCTGCATTTGACCCGCGGCTTCACCCGATTTCTTCCACAGTTTTGTGATCCTCAAAAAACAGGATCACAAAACTGCGGGGGAAATCGGGCTAAGCTGTGAGTCAAAATGCAGCCCCGCAGCTTCGGGTGTGAAATTGACCAATAGTATCGGGGCAAATGGCGGCGCAACATCAAGGCAGCTCTAGTGCGAAATCAGCCAATGTGTGTGAAGCACTTTCTGTTCTGAAGTTGCTATATAAATTGTAATTACAATGATTATTAGTGTAGTGTCCACTGCAATGTTGAAAATCACCATCATTTTAGCTTAGGACTCAGCAGCTAAAATGGAAGCAATTTACAGCAGTGCCATTATTAGGCTATACTATCTAACAGTGATAGTATAATCTATAGGTATCTCAATGAGAATGGACTCAAAGTGTGTTTTCCCCTTCCAGGATTATTTATCTGAAATCAAATCTATCATTTGGTTCTTGCTAGTTATTAGGATGAATTAGAACCATCACTCAACACTGTTAGAAAACTGATTAATGTGAGTAACTCATAGTATACTCAGTTTATCATCCTTCAGTCCATCCAATATAGATGGCTAAATCATTCTGACTTCACCCTGTATTTGTGAGAATGATCTCAAGATGCGGGATCTGAATGAAAATTGGGATGTTTTCACAATCACTAACCCTTTTGCATCAACAACTTTTTAAAAAATTACTTTGAAAGGATATAAAACACACTCTTTTTTTTTTACTCTTTCATTATTTTCTTTCACTAAAGCAAGTGAAATGGCTTAGCAATTTGCACCAAGTGTTCTCAACAAGGTTTCTCATAAGACACAAATCCCTATCAAGCAGGCCTGTAGCCAGGATTTTTTAAGTCAGGGGGCATTTGAATTTCTTAGGGGGCACTGGCTAATCAAATTAATCTGGGAAAGAAGGATGTGACACCCTGGGCTGGATGGGAAGTTGAGGGGCCTTGCTAGCAAGTCAGGGGGTCTAGCCCCGAGATGCCCCACTGTAGCTACGGGCCCGCTATCAAGGCTGCATCTACACAGCTGATGGGAGTGCACATCCCTGCCATGACAGCAGCAGCAAACAACTTGGGAATGGGCATGAATGGCATCCACATGTCCCACCCCTGTGCCACTTGCTCCTGTCACTACTTTCTCCACATCTCCACATCACATCTGTAAAAAAGAGCACCTGCAATAGCAATCATGCTAAACCCACCCCCAGCCCAGAACCCACCTTTCCCTGTCGAGCTTAAAAGGAGAAGGGGGAATAGCATGTGGCAGGGAGTTGCTCCACACTGTTTTGAACACAGATCTTAGCTCCGCCTCCTTCGCCATGATGGTAACTGGTACAGCATTCAGTTGGACTTCACCCACCCTACCCCTTAGTTTTAATTTGAACCAGATCAAAGGAAAGTTGTTGTTGTTATCCTGTTTATGTTTTTATCCTGTTTATGTTTTTATCCTGTTTAAAGGGGAAAGCCCCATGAAGCCCATGAGCTGTGTTCAGAATGAGCACAATGTGATTTGGACATTTCCACTAAAGTGAATAGCTTACAGCGGCCAAAATGTATATTTAATTTTTAAATGCTCTCTTCTGGTTCCAGTGTCACATTATCAACATAAAGTAGTGGTGAAGAACTCTGTAAAAAACCCTAACACACAGTGGGGCCCTGATGCCAGTGGGGCCCCAGTAACTGCCCCTTTTCCCCATTGGATAAAGGTGTGAAACAAGAGAAATAAACTCTGTACACTCAAGCCCTGTACACACAACGTATCAGAATATAGGGCAATGGCTTCGAAGTCAAGCAGGACTAAGGGCACTGCCCCCTGTCTCTCCTACACAGGTCTACCTCAACACGAACACAGCACTGTATGTGTGTGATCACCTGTCCTCAAGACTGGAAAAGCTGGAAAAAGCAGTATTTCTGATCATGGGGACGGTGGTGCCTCTGTGCTATGATCAGAGAATGTTATGTCCACATTTGGCAAATGCACATGGGTTGGGGAAAGGAGGGCCAGCATGCTCAGATGCAAGGGTGGTTCATTTGATATTGCTCTCCCTATCTGTGTGGGTCCATGGGAGGTCATTTCCCCCAGGCCCTCCCAAGCCTACAGCTGGCTCTGCTTAACATATTCACTGTTAACTTGACATCTGTCAGCAGATACCAAGCGTTCTGTTCAACAAATCTGATAATTTAAAAATAAAATGAAAATATTCTTCGAAGAAAGAGAATATTGACAGGGCAATACTAAACAGAGTGATACCCTTCCATGTCCATTGACTTCAGTGGATATAGGAGTGTGTAACTGCATTTAGGATTGCACTGTAAATGTGTTAAAAATGATCCGCTATAGAGAATATAAAATTAAGTATGTAAATCTTCTGATTGTATTATGCCTGCCTTCTGCTTCAGCTAAGACAATAATCAGCTAATCATTAACTCTGGTTTGTTCTCGCTAATGCATGTAACACTTTAATCAGTATGTTCATTTACCAGAATTCTCCATCATCTAGCGCTGTCTGATGCAAACGCCTTTGCTCAGATGGGCTGATGGAACGCCATTCAGGGGAACTTGGAAGAGAAGGAGGCAATCCTCATTAATGTTTTTAGAACTTCGCTTTGAAAACAGATTCCAGCATCTCACATTAGAGTCTGCTACATTTTTCATAGCTCAATCTCACTGGCAAACTTTCACTAAGAGTAGCAAGACTAATAGTAGACTTAAGCACTTGCATTTTGGCAAAATTGGACTTAACCAAACAGATTCGTAGCAGTAGAGCTTTGGACAGATAAATCCTCTATCAAGCTAGACTTGAGCAATGCTATTTGGGGTACTTTTAAAAAAATCACTACTGCTTGTAAAAACCAACAGGTCATGTAAAAATCATACTGTTCTCTTACTAATGTGTTTGGTTCAAATTTGTAAACTATTGATGCGAATTAGCCATAGGCCTATAAGAAATATAATTGCTGGTAGGCTTAAAATACCACATTCATTTACAATTTATTTATCCTGTATTGCATTGATGGTACTTTCTATATATAACACAAGAAAAACTATTTCAGGTGGTATCGCCTTCTGTAGTTAAAAAGAAAAGCTCTCAAAGTTCTCTTATTAGACCCTTACACAAATCTTCATAAATGTATTTACTCCTGCCTCCTGCAGCAGCCCAAAATGCATCTTGAAATCCTGCTGCAGGAGGACAATGTATCTCATTTCCCTGGTTTCCATTTCAAAAATCTGTAAATCCCTAAAACAATTATTTTAAAAAATCACCCTTCATTTCAGATAGTGAACTAGCTTTAACTTTGGACATTTCCCCAGCTTTCTCACCCATCCTGGATATTTTATCACAGTGCCAACATTTAGTAGTTATAACTTGTGGGTTTTTTTAGTGTATGTGCGTTCTTGGAACATAAGATACTGACTTGTCACTCCATGCGCCGTTCCATTCTACTTGACCCCATGGATTTCTAACTCGAATGAGCTTAACTGTACGGCCTTGATAGTTTACCTACAAACAGAAGCAAGCAAGAGAAAGAGGAATCAAATGTACATATAAGAAAACTGTGACTGTATTTTAAGCAGATCTCTAAGCTTTATGACTGAACAACCTGGCTACTGAATCTCATTTTGGATACCACAAGATGAGCTCCCCAATAAACACACTCTGGGTTGTCTACCTGTTGTATCACTGGCCTGACTGTAACCATGGGGGGGGGGAGGAGGTGGAGATAAGTAAGCTTGACACTCAACAGCATGCTTTGCTTCTCCCTTCTCTTCTGCCAACCTTTACTCTAACAAGGGGAATCACAGTTTTAAAAAAGGCCTCTTACCTCATTAAGACCAGTTACTGAATATGCATGGCCCTTTACAAGACCATACGGGGTTCGAGCTTCTGACTCAGCTGCACTGCGGGTCTAAAACATGGAAATACATGATTTTAAATTTGTGCTTTATTGAAATAATATTATACATAATAGGTTGGATTCTATGACTGCATATCCAGAAGGAGATTACAGTGGCAGATCTTTTGTGCCCACTGTCTTGCCACAGAAGCCCTCTACAACCCATAAAAAGCATTACCCCTTTCTCTTGCTCTGCAATGGTTTGAGAACCAACATGGTGTAGTGCAGGGGTGGCTAAACTGTGGCTCAGGAGCCACATACAGCTCTTTCACACATATTATGCAGCTCTCAGCAGGGCAGCTGGGGAAGCGACAGTGAGGCATGCCTCCCTGATTGGTCTTCCCTTCCCCAGCCAGTGTTTCCCTCCCTGGGTAGGCTTGAGGTGGGGGGAAGCAGAGAAAGAAAGCAACTTTAAATGCATTCTCAAAGCTCCCCCTCTCCCCGCCTGGCTGGCCAGCTTGGAGGAGGTATTTGTCTCTTTAAATCCCTTCTCTAAGCCAAGTCATCCATCCAGCCAGCGTGGGGGGCTTGGAGGACACATTTAAATTTAAAGTTGTTTTCTTTCTACTTCTCCCTCCCCCATCTGTTTGCTTTCTTTCCACTTTCTTTCTTTCCACCTTTCCTCCTGTCTTTCCCCCCTCCCTCCCCATCTAAAGTTAAATGTGTTCTCCAAGCCCCACTATACCAGCAGACTGACTTGGCTCGGAGAAGACATTTGTCTCTTTAATTCAATATGCAAATTTGTATATTTTTCAATAAAAATGTGTGTGTGTTCATGTCTTGTGGCTCTCAAACATCTGACTTTTTTCTATGTGGTTCTTACGTTACGCAAGTTTGGCCACCCCTAGTGTAGTGGTTATAAGCAACAGGCTCTAATCTGGAGAATCAGGTTTGATTCCCCACTCCTCCACATAAGGCCCAAGGTCCAGTCACGGTTCTCTTAGAACTCTCTCAGCGCCACCTACCTCACAAGGTACCTATTGTGGGGAGAGGAAGGGAAGGCAACTGTAAACCCTTTTGAGGCACCTTAGGGTGGAGAAAATCAGGGTATGAAAACCAACTTTTCTTCCTCTAGTTAGCCTTCCCTTGCTGGAATGGAGTGGGAAGGGTTTTCCCCAATCCCCATCCTTTTCCCCCAAAAAACAATTTTTATTATTTTTAGACAAACACACATAAATGAGAGAGTTTATACTTATATACCTGTTGACAATACCTCATACATATATATCTGATTTCCTACCTATCTACCGTTCAATCTAATCTAATCTAATCTAATCTAATTCTTGCAATTCAGCAGTTTAAAGGTATACCTTTACTACTATTTAAATGTTATTTAAACAATTTCAAAAGTTCCTAAACTTATATAAAATTCTCTTATCCTTTCTAATTTTATATTTTGATTACATCATTAATGTAAAATTTTAAAATAACTTTTCCCCTTACATTCATTTAATATGCATCATCGCTTTTCCATAATCAATCTTGATGTAATACAGAAGTACAGAAGGTCTCTTTCATTTTTAGTTTATACAATTTGTTATATTATTTTCAATATCATCCTAACTCCACAAATGCCCATCAAGATACGTTTAAATTGTAATTCCTTATACAAATCTAATTGCCACTATCAATTTATAAGCATCAAATATAAACTTAAATGTTACATAGCCAAACTTAACACATACAGAGCTTTAACCAATCATAGCCAGTAATGCAGACCAAGAGGTTCCTTAACCCATTCTTATTTATAAAGTTTAAATCTCTTTTTTCCCCTGGATCCTTCTCTTCAGTATAATCTTAAATCTATGTTGTTCATTCTTATAAATGAAGAGATTTTCCCTTAAATCTCGCCTTCCATATTCCATCCTTGAAGTGGTTATGTACTCCATAAGTTCCCTTTCTTTTAGAACTATTTTTCCTTTAAGAACTTTAAAAATTCCAGCTTTTAGTTGCTCTTCAGATGCTCTGCTGTGTTTCTCTGAGTCCATGTTTTGTCTCTGTTTTGATGAGTCTATTCTTCTGCGAGGTCCATCCGTTTGCTTGAAGTCTTGCTTAGTGTCTTGATCCAAATCTTGAACGATTTCAATTTGTGCTCGTGAAGCCTGCCAGTCATCCTGAATCAAACGAAAAATCTTCTCCACTACCAAACTGACAACTTGTAAAATTGTGGACTTAAGCTCATCATGAAATGTCTGTGTCCAGTAGGTGTCACCAGAGCGATCTCCAGACACGTCAGCTGGCATTTTCCCCAGTGCAGCTTGCATTGTTTTCAATAGCCTCACCAGCCTAACTGCATTTCCCCGATAACAGTTTCTCCAGACAAGTTCACACGCAAGAATCCCTCAACACAAGTCAGGTGACCAGTAGTTGTTATAATGGCATTTAATCAGCATAGTTTTTAATAATTTCAATGGGAAACTCAGTAGTTAGGGTACTATTTTAGAACAGAAAGTTCAGATTTAAATGTCTCTCTTTTTCCCAAGGACGATCTGTACTCCCTTTAGTGAAAAGTATCCTCCTTTAAAGTTATTTGCATTTCCATTAACATCCAAAAGAGATTTGCAGGGAGAAACAACCATTTGTAGCCATTAAAAGTGAAAAGTAGCAGAAACCTAAGAATAGAAAGAGTTTAAACAACTATCTTTGTTATCCTCTTTGCCCCCGGATGCGTTTAACGCTTACTGTTCACACACAAAACCTTTCCACATCATGGAAATACAGCAAAATATTAAGACGTATCAGTCACTTACACTTGGCTATTTAGGCCTCGTCTTCTGATTGCATAATATAAAAATTTTGCAACACCCTCCATTATTTCACAATTAGAATTAAACAGAAGAAAGTGAACAATTGAGTCATCAGAATGCCAGCTCTTACCCTCTAGAAGTGGAGTAATAAAACGAGATCGAATATCCCTATAAAGGGGGCAATGAAGTATGGTCTGTGTAGTGGATTCTATATCTTTTAGAGAGCAAGGACAAAGTCTGTCTACATATGGTATCTGGCGGTACCTCCCTAAAAGCACCTCCGATGGCAGAACATTAAAGCGGTCAAGCATGTATGCTCTGCGATGGTGTGGGGCTGTTAAACTTGACAGATATTTTGCAGTGGAGCCCGTGTCAAAAGTCCCCAGCCTACTTGGGGAGCAACTGCTGGCTGCATGTTCCCTACGTTCTTGCACAGGCTTACTAGCATGGTAGTATCCGCTTCATCATGGAGGGAGGGGGGGAATTCCACTTCTCCTTCCTTGTCCTTTTGAAGATTCAAAGGGGGCTTAATGGAGAAATTGGTAGATTCTTCGATGTTGCTTTTTACAAGTACTCACGGTGATTTTCTTCGTCAATGTTATGGACGAGGCACCTAGTTTCTCTCTTGTGGGGGTGTTTACATCTTGGTGCATTCATGGCTGCCATGACCATATTTCACTCCTTGCCATATTTCACTCCTTGCATCTGGGATGATCCTGGGCTTCCACCCGCTTCCTGCCACTCATGGGGAGCCCAAATCAAGTCCCTTGTGCCAGACCTCCCTCCAGGAGGTCCAGTGGAGAACGGGATCCCCTGAAACTCTCCTAAAAGAAGCGAAATACTGGTGATCTCCGGGAGCAGAGATCAATCATGTCACTGCTCTGCTTTCCCTCCCCCCCAGTCCCCATTCCTCAGTGCAATTTGTCCCCTATGCTAGATGGTTTTTTATCCACAGTGATCTCTGGTCCCCAGAATGCTTGAAGGGGTGTGTGCAGAGAGCAGCTGTGAGAAGGGAAGTTTAGTGAAAGATCCACAACCTAGTGTGCCTTCCACTTGTGCAAGCATAGGATCCAGGAACGGCCAACAGCATTAGAAATGGGTTAGAAATGTGAAACCTCAAACCTCATTGAGTTAACATATAGAATGCAACAAGTGGGAACCCACAAGGACTTGTGGGAGGCATCTCATTCTCCCTGCCACAATGTCCTCTTTTCTTTTCCTGAAAGTCCCCATAGCCCCTCCCCATTTCCTGCTTCCTGTCTGAAAAGTCCTCAGACATCTCAAGTGATTTAGCTCATAAGGTTTATTAAGCAGGAACAAGACAACTTTAGCCAGCTTGCAAGCCAGGTTATATTCCCAGTGAAACCACCACCCAAAACACCCCCCACACACCGCAATAGGCTATTTACAGTGGCCAAGAGTTCCATAGGCTCTCAGCCAGGAACCTAGCCCTCGGATAGGTGCGGGCTAGGATCCGCTTAGTCCATTGTTTCCTGGAGCGAAGCTCGAGGATTTCACTTGACCATGTGGAGCCCCAGTGTGCCATGCAGTCAGAACTGGATACATTACACTGCCCTTCTAGGGCTGCCAACCTCCAGGTGGGGCCTGGAGATCTCCGGAAATCACAACGGATCTCCCAACTACAATGCTTAGTTCCCTCAGAGGGAGCTTTCTCTGGAGAAAATGGCTGCCTTGGAGACTGTGGCATTATACCCTTCTGAGGCCCAACCTCCTCAGGCCCCACCCCCAGATCTCCAGGAATTTCCCAACCTGGAGTTGGCAACTACCTCCTTCCCACTCAACAGGCAACCTACCTTTATCTGCCCTTCTGTCTTAAACTTCCCCACCCCGGCAGCCTCTACCCAGTTGTGCGGTGCCACAGTTCCCTGTCCCATTCTCTCCTTCTCAGCCGTTCTGTCTCCCATCTTCAACTATATTATTTTTAGTTCATTTATACCCCACTTTCTCCACAGTGGGGACCAAAGCAGCATACATTACTCTACTCTGCTCCAAACAACAACCCTGTGAGGTAGAGTATGCTGAAAGTATGTGACTGATCCAAAATCACGCAGTGAGCTTCTGCACGTTGCTAATAGTATACAGATTATATTCAAATATTTCTTTATTCCTTGACGACAAAGAGCATCACAATGTTAAAAAAAACCCTTGCATCATTTTTAGAAGATTTGAGGGCTTTGATCAAATTCCTGGAGAGGTGCCCTGATGTGGCATAATGCTGAAGCAGGGGTGTGTGTGTGTTAGAGAGAGAGAAATCCTGCTCTAAATCCTAAACGCAAAAGCTCATCAGGAACTAACCAGTTTACAATTTAACCAGCCTCTCCAGATTTCTATGATGCCCACATCAGTAGGATACAAATGTGGGGCAGCTACTAGGGTTGGCTTTAAATACTGATGGTAATGCCAAGGTGACTTTAGAAATTGCAATGAGCTCTTGCAGAGGAGGCAGCTGTTTAGCTATAAAAGGCCCTGATGGGATTTAAATTTCTATCACATGCAGAGTTACTCCAGCCTACGCTCTTGTTGATTTCAGATGAGACTGGGTTGCATGTCTCAGCTTTGCTACTGTTTCAGATACAAGATGCCCTAAGCAGGTATGATCTTACTATACCCTTACAACAAAGTAAACGTGTGCTTTACGTACTGTAGCAATCTGGAACCTGACATATAGATATAAAGTTCTTAGAACAGTTCTGTGGATGGCAGCATTAGGAGAAATGTCAGTAGGAAATAAGTGTAGTTATATACGAATGAAGTAGATAACCTACTTAGTTCCGCAGATGGCCCTTTAACATTTGAAATGGACAACATGTGATTGCCTCTGGATACACTGAACTCCAGACAATGTATGATTGCCTCTGGACACACATGCAGCTATTGGCGGCTCCAGTCCCAGCCATGTGGAAGCACCACAGACAACGGTTGTATAAAACAGCCCTCCTATTTATGAGCTGGATTGAATGAAGCTGAACCAGATCCCTACGCTTAGAGAGGAGTGAAGATGCTCATCTCGACCTCCATATATCCATGTTGCTCACGGGGTAGGGCGGGGTATAAATTGAATAAATAAAATAAAAATAATAAATAATAAATAAAAAATATATAATTGTGGGTGCACAGTGTTAGGGTCAGGCCTACACGTGTGTTACTGATTTCCAAATCTTATCCAGGAAATCAGTTTTACAGCTGGTACATGCATGCATCCAATTTGAACTTTAAGCTCCCACAAGGATGTTGAGTGACACACTTCCGGTGATGTCAGGGGGTGTGGCATATGCAAATAAGTTATGCTAATGAGTTATGCTAATGAGCTCCTGCACCTCTTTTTCTACAAAATGACCCCTGAGAAGTGGGGCACAAGGTTGGAAGGACTAGTCAGACATGAATGCACTTCCCATCAAATGCAGAGGAATGTGTTGCCTTCATAGCATCCGATCTGGTCCTTTGTATCCCAGCATCAATCAGTATACACCATGAGCATACCTATCTCTCTCCAATCTCGTATCATTTGAGGAAGCGATGGGGTCTGGTAATTTAGGAGAACTGTGCACTGCAATATTGCTTGGCTGCATTTCTGCACACAAAACCAAAGCGAAACTCAAACTTTTACTTACCTCAATAGAACAGGCCACCATTGAACCCCTTTTAAGGGCTTTTTCTAAGATTTCAGGGAAGTTTTCTGGCGCCTTTTTAACTTCGTACATTTCTCCAACTCCTCCTGTAAAATCTTCCATGGCTTCTATTGTACTTCCACCTTTCAGGGCTTCATAACTTCCATTCAACCTGATTAACATTTGCAATTGAAAACTCACACCATAAAACAAGATTCTTTGGCTAAGGGCTCATTTGCAGAGTATGGACAGTAGTAGTGGTAGAAGCTACCCACCTGCCTACTACTAGTGCTAGACGGTACCCACCCACCAACCCACCTCCTGAGAAATTTTATGACTGCTTCCCTTGACGTTATTCCTTCTCCAACACTGGATCCTCCAAATATGCTTTCAAATCCTATTTTAGGCTATACTCTGTGGCAAAGGCACAGAAGAAGACTGTTACTCCCACCATTTGGAAACTTGTTATGCTTAGTTAATACCAAATATCCACCCACCAACCCACCTCCTGAGAAATTCTATGACTGCTTCCCTTGACGTTATTCCTTCTCCAATACTGGATCCTCCAAATATGCTTTCAAATCCTATCTTAGGCTAAACTCTGTGGCAAAGGCACAGAAGACTGTTACTCCCACCATTTGGAAATTTGTTACGCCTAGTTAATACCAAAGTGACAAGTCAGACCAAGCAAGAACTGGCCAGTGCACACTGCCCTCAATATAAAGGTCATCCATTGCCTCAGGTATGTGGTAGGAGTTACTGGCATCTTTCCAAGTGGTTAAGACGCTGAACTGCAGGCTGTGGTGCTTGGGGGGGGGGGTCAACAGTGGGAGGGCTTCTAATGTCCTGGCCCCACTGCTGGACCTCCTGATGGCAACTGGTATTTCTGGCCACTGTGTGACACAGAGTGTTGGACTGGATGGGCCTTTGGCCTGATCCAACATTGGCGTCTCTTATGTTCTTATGACCACGGAAATGTCTTCGGACAGCGCTGGCTCTTCGGCATGGAAACGGAGATGAGTACCGCAACCCTAGAGTCGGATTCGACTGGCTTTCAAGCAAGGGAACCTTTACCTTTTATCATACTTTGCCTTTTAAATCATACTTTACCTTTTATCATACTTTACTTTATCCTCACATATCAATTTTTCAACCAAAAAACTTTGACCTTCCAGGATCTATTCTAGCCTCATTATGCTTTTCCTGCTTAAGCTATCTCTTGATATTCCATTGCCCCTCTTCACCAATACCTGATCTCCTCCTATAAGCCTTTGGGTGTGGAACTATGTCACTACTATGTTCTAACCAGGGCTTGGAGCACTACTGGGAATAAACGAGAATGTTAAGTCACAGCAGTAGAAATAGAGTTGATTTATTTGAAAATTTACCTTGTCTGGAGGAACTACACTGACCAAGGGAAAGGGTCATAAAACATCAATAAAGCAAAATGGAAAGCAGTGTCTTCTAAAAGATCACAGAGTGGTAGCAGCAGAGCTAAAATGACACACATTGAGATCTGATCCAGCTCCTTAAAGAAACGTTTCACTGAAAGCACACATCACTCTGTCACAGAAGAGTTTAGATTGCAGTAAAATATAAGCAGAAACTGAAAACAATATCCAGATCACACCTTCTACATGGCTTACTTGGCATAGGCTTTTTCCAGTAGTGCACTCCAGAATTCGTTGTGGTCAGCTGAGTGTAGGAAAACCAAACGATCTTTTTGGAGCACTACTGGGAATAAACGAGAATGTTAAGTCACAGCAGTAGAAATAGAGTTGATTTATTTGAAAATTTACCTTGTCTGGAGGAACTACACTGACCAAGGGAAAGGGTCATAAAACATCAATAAAGCAAAATGGAAAGCAGTGTCTTCTAAAAGATCACAGAGTGGTAGCAGCAGAGCTAAAATGACACACATTGAGATCTGATCCAGCTCCTTAAAGAAACGTTTCACTGAAAGCACACATCACTCTGTCACAGAAGAGTTTAGATTGCAGTAAAATATAAGCAGAAACTGAAAACAATATCCAGATCACACCTTCTACATGGCTTACTTGGCATAGGCTTTTTCCAGTAGTGCACTCCAGAATTCGTTGTGGTCAGCTGAGTGTAGGAAAACCAAACGATCTTTGAAGGTGGGCAATCGGTCATCAATAAGAATATCCAGCCACTCATTGTGCTGCCAAAACTGTTTGGTAAAGGCAAATGGGGAATAACTGGATAGCTTTTCATTCGGAGTCCCCTTACTATCACAGAGTTACACGGCACACTTTTACTTAGAAAAGAACATGGCCAGATTAGAGGCAGTCTGTGCGGCTTCCCTCTAGGATGGAGCTTGCCAAGAAAGAACCGCAATGGTTACTCTTGCTCTTTGGGCTATCAAGAAAAGCTGGGTTTTATGCCTTGAGTAAATTAAGTTCAAGCGTTATTTTTTTAAAAATGACTTAACTTTAACGGAATTGCTCCCACATATAGAGCAAGCACATAACTACTTATAGAATCAGCTGTGCTACTATGATGCCATAAAACATAATTTTACAGTGCAGGCTGTTACTCTTAAACAAATGCCAAGTACTGAGGTGCCAGTTTGTGGGTTGGAGCCAGTCAGCTTTTTCACTCAGTCTCATGCAGTTCCTCTCATTGCTACAGCCCCTGAACAACATAGCTTTTTACATGCAGGTCTCGTGGTCCTCTTCATAGCCTTTTGGGGTAGTCAGAGGGGAACCCTGTTAAGCTTACCATTGTTTAAAGACTCAATGAGTTAAATTATTCCTTAAATCCATTCATATCCATTAAAACATTTCTGTCTTGCCTTTTGGTACACAGTATCTGCCAGGAAACTCACAACAATCTAAAAACGGTAAATTATGCTAGAGTGTATCCTAACACTCTGCCCAGCTAAAGGCAGTGCACTAAACACCCACTCATGAAGACTGTGGGCTGTCTTTAGGCCAGTCACGCTCTGTCAGCCTAACCTATTTTACAAGATTCAGGGGGGCAGCCATGTTGGTCTGAAGCAATAGAACAAAGTTTGAGTCCAGTGGCACCTTTAAGAACAACAGAATTGAACTTTGTTGGTCTTAAAGGTGCCACTGGATTCAAACTTTGTTCTATTATTTTACAAGGTTGAGGGTAAAATGGTGGAGGGGAGATTTATGGACACCGCCCTGAGCTCCTTGACAGAAGGGTGGGATTAAAATGTGTCATCATTCTCTCCTCTTCTGGCAGGATGCACCTTGTGCTGTCAGAATGTGCAGTCCTCAGTTGAGTGTAATGGTAGGATACCTCCCAATATATTCATGTATTGTTTGGTCTTGCAAGATGATAGCGGCTGCCCCCAAAGCACTGATCTATGAACTTTTTCCATATAACATTTGGTTATTATGATTTGCAAGAGTGATCTTACCTGAAAATGAAATATTCCAGCATAACTTGGTCCAAAATCCTGATCCTGTGGCACAACTCTGGCTAGTGTGTTTTCATTAAGAGTAAGAGATGCTATGGCAGCTAATAGCCAACAATCACCTGAAAATCAAGAAGAACAAGACCATAAAGAACTTAAGAACATCAGACCAGTGGTCCATCCAGTCCAGCAGCCTGTCTCATACAATGGCCAACCAGTTATGGAGGGCCAACAAATAGGGCATAGAGGCCAGGGCCTTCCCCTGGTGTTGCCTCCTGGCACTGGTATTCAGAGGTTTACTGCCTCTGAATGTGGAGGTTCCCTTTAGTAACTATGGCTAGTAGCCACTGATAAGCAAGCCACAATGTAGTCTTGTCACCCAATCCAAACACTCAGAATCTATATATCTAATAGCCAAGTTGCCCCCTCTGTGCGGATATCTAAATCCGCACATCAGGGGCACTTGGGGGGCAGAGAGATTTTCCTGCATACTTGGAGCAGTCCGCAGGTGTGCAGAAAAATCTAAAAAGTTGAAAAAATATACAGGGGATATTTAAATCCCCCCAAAGGTAAAAGCGTTCCCTGCGCATGCGCAGAGAATGCTCTGGCCATTGTGGGGAAGGCTCAGTGGGCCCGGCGTCTGGGAGCTGCTTGGGACTCGCCACCAGTGCCGGGGGGGAGTGGGAGAAGGCTCAGCGGGCCCGGCAGCTGGGAGCCACTCAGGCCTCGATGCTGGTGCCCGGGGGGGGAGTGGGAGAAGGCTTGGCAGGCCTGTGTGACTCACCACTGGTGCAGGGGGGCAGAGGAGAAGGATTGGTGGGCCCGGCAGCTGGGAGCCACGTGGGCCTTGCCATTGGTGTTGGGGGGATTTGGGGGGAGAAGGATTGCCGGGCCCGGGCCTCACTGTTGGTGCGGGAGGGCGGGGGAGAAGGCTCACCTGCGGCTGCTTCCTCCTCCTTCTCCACATGGAGCTCCCCCCCCACGAGTATCGCGGGTCCCCGCTTATTGTCTATATTGTAATTCCCAGAGGGACTTTTTGTGCAGATACTTATTTCTGCCAACAGAGGGCTCACTCTCCCCCAACAGCTTTTCCAACATAGTCAGTAGACTTCCTGTGACTGCAGAAAAATCCAAAAAGTAAAAAAAATCCCTTCAGGGATGGTTGAATTCCCCCAAATACCTTTTTAAATGGCCTCTGCAGGGATCTAACTCCAGGCATCAACAGTGAACAGCTTTTCCAACATAGTCAGTAGACTTCCTGTGACTGCAGAAAAATCCAAAAAGTAAAAAAAATCCCTTCAGGGATGGTTGAATTCCCCCAAATACCTTTTTAAATGGCCTCTGCAGG